CACGTCCGGAAAAGCTGGTTATCGATATCTTTTGAAGCTGCAAAGCACAGTGTTGGACTTATCGCATCCAGAGGAACCGAGAACGATGATATCCCAAAGGTGACTCTGCCGAGCCGCTGCCTTTTAGTATTTTTCCAAGTAACATCAGTATCTGCACATGGGTTTCGAGATCTTTTTTGCATTGATAAGGCATCGCGCTTCCAACTTTGATTTGGAGAATATATTTCAGCTTTGACCATGTGCAGTCGATTGATGAGGAACTAGATGAAATGAAGAAGAAGCAAAGAGCTGAGCAAATGCGGCGGGAAAAGGATAGGAAGGAATTGGATGAATTGCTGCGCGACTCCAGCGAAGGAGAGGTAAATTAAGTTGTCACATACCGGTAAAAGGAGATTAACTGTTGTCCATCACATCTAGGTGATTTAGATTGACCTTCAAAAGTATCGCGAACAAAGGTCAAAAATGCGTCGAGCTGAAGCTGCACGATCTAGATACCAACGAATGAGTGAGGCGGAGCGAAAGTTGGTTTTTGTTTTGCTATAATTCGAAAGCCCAGTTTTGGCCTGTACTCTTTATTTCGATATAGGACCCTTTCTCAGTCCGATTGTAACTGGTAGACCTCAAAATTCACCGTCAATCAAAAGATTCGATGTCCATCAGCATGGCCATGTTTCAGGGTCTACAATCAGCGCCGACGCCTTCGTGCTCTAGGATTGGATCCGGATATGCCAAAAGGAGCCTTCATCGATAACGAAGCTATAAGGGAGCACATAAAAATGGCAAATGCCAAGAAGGCCGAAGCCGCGCGGTTACGGTATGTTGTTTTTGATCTGGCTTTTCACTCTTGTGTGTCTCGGCACTCAATTCTGTGCGAAAATGATCTTCAAGTTGCAATAGTGATGGAAATTTACCTTTGCAGCCGATCATATTCCCATATCTATTTTGTGGGAAAAGTAACAAACTTTTCTGTTCCACCGTTGTTTCGTTGCGGCGTTTTCAACGTCGGGAAAATCTTCCGTGTAAAGAAACAGTCAAGTTCGACTGATGGAATATTTGTAGATATCACCGCATGACAGCGGAAGAAAAGCGAGAATACAATCAAAGGCGAACAGAATCATTCCGCAAGAGGCGTCTCGAGGAGGAGATTCTTCTTTCCACCCCAGCTGGTCGAATCTCCGCCGAAGCGCTACAGAAAGTGGGTATTATCAAGTCCTCTTCTCCAATTATTATAAAATTGTAGGCTCAACAAATTATGATAAGAAACGCTAGAAAAGCTGAAGCCGCCAGGGCACGTTATCAAAAAATGTCACCAGAGCAGAGAAAGGTTTGCATTCTTTGTTTCGGATGATAGCTTGAAAAAAGGGAAAGTTTGTGTTGTTCAGGAATATAATATGAGGCGTGCACAAGCAAAAAAGATGAGAGCTCTGAGTCGTGAAAATCGAGGTCTTGGGAACTCGAATTGTTCGCAGGGTTAGTCAGATAATATGCATAATGTTACGAAAACTTGTATGTTCATAATGCCTTCTGCCTTCAGTGTCTGGGGACATGGGTGATTCTTCTGGCATGAGCTCGTCGTTTGATGCAAACAGCTCTATGTCGTTGCTGGATGCGAATGAATTAACTTCCGCCATGGAGCAACATCTCAATTCTACCTCTCAGGTGCACTTTTCTCTGTTCTTCGCGAAGAATCATTCAAAGTCCTTTTGCAGATGTCGCATTCTGCAGACGATATTTTCGAGCAAATGGAGCGAGAAGTGATTAAAAGAACAAAGCAGGTGGGCATTGATTGTTTCAATCTTTGATGGTTAAGGGCAGAGTCCGGGCAAGAATTCGATTTTGAGATTTTGTGCTTACCCGGGCCTATTCA